GTGAATAATAAAAACCTGTGTTTTTAGTAGGCTTATGCCATTGGGAAATATGAAATAAATGGTATCAGAGCTACAGGTAGTGAATAATAAAAACTGTGTTTCTTAGTAGGCTTATGCCATTGGGAAATATGAAATAAATTGTATCAGAGCTACAGGTAGTGAATAAAAAAAACTGTGTTTTTAGTAGGCTTATGCCATTGGGAAATATGAAATAAATGGTATCAGAGCTACAGGTAGTGAATAATAAAAACCTGTGTTTTTAGTAGGCTTATGCCATTGGGAAATATTAAATAAATGGTATCAGAGCTACAGGTAGTGAATAAAAAAAACTGTGTTTTTAGTAGGCTTATGCCATTGGGAAATATGAAATAAATGGTATCAGAGCTACAGGTAGTGAATAATAAAAACTGTGTTTCTTAGTAGGCTTATGCCATTGGGAAATATGAAATAAATGGTATCAGAGCTACAGGTAGTGAATAAAAAAAACTGTGTTTTTAGTAGGCTTATGCCATTAGGAAATATGAAATAAATGGTATCAGAGCTACAGGTAGTGAATAAAAAAAACTGTGTTTCTTAGTAGGCTTATGCAATTGGGAAATATGAAATAAATGGTATCAGAGCTACAGGTAGTGAATAATAAAAACCTGTGTTTTTAGTAGGCTTATGCCATTGGGAAATATTAAATAAATGGTATCAGAGCTACAGGTAGTGAATAAAATAAACTGTGTTTCTTAGTAGGCTTATGCCATTGGGAAATATGAAATAAATGGTATCAGAGCTACAGGTAGTGAATAATAAAAACTGTGTTTTTAGTAGGCTTATGCCATTGGGAAATATGAAATAAATGGTATCAGAGCTACAGGTAGTGAATAATAAAAACCTGTGTTTTTAGTAGGCTTATGCCATTGGGAAATATGAAATAAATGGTATCAGAGCTACAGGTAGTGAATAATAAAAACCTGTGTTTTTAGTAGGCTTATGCCATTGGGAAATATGAAATAAATGGTATCAGAGCTACAGGTAGTGAATAATAAAACCTGTGTTTTTAGTAGGCTTATGCCATTGGGAAATATGAAATAAATGGTATCAGAGCTACAGGTAGTGAATAATAAAAACTGTGTTTCTTAGTAGGCTTATGCCATTGGGAAATATGAAATAAATGGTATCAGAGCTACAGGTAGTGAATAATAAAAACTGTGTTTCTTAGTAGGCTTATGCCATTGGGAAATATGAAATAAATGGTATCAGAGCTACAGGTAGTGAATAATAAAAACCTGTGTTTTTAGTAGGCTTATGCCATTGGGAAATATGAAATAAATGGTATCAGAGCTACAGGTAGTGAATAATAAAAACCTGTGTTTTTGGTAGGCTTATGCAATGGGAAATATGAAACAAATGGTATCAGAGCTACAGGTAGTGAATAAAAAAAACTGTGTTTTTAGTAGGCTTATGCCATTGGGAAATATGAAATAAATGGTATCAGAGCTACAGGTAGTGAATAAAAAAAACTGTGTTTTTAGTAGGCTTATGCAATTAGGAAATATGAAACAAATGGTATCAGAGCTACAGGTAGTGAATAAAAAAAACTGTGTTTTTAGTAGGCTTATGCCATTGGGAAATATGAAATAAATGGTATCAGAGCTACAGGTAGTGAATAAAAAAAAACTGTGTTTTTAGTAGGCTTATGCCATTGGGAATTATGAAATAAATGGTATCAGAGCTACAGGTAGTGAATAAAAAAACTGTGTTTTTAGTAGGCTTATGCCATTGGGAAATATGAAACAAATAGTATCAGAGCTACAGGTAGTGAATAAGAAAAACCTGTGTTTTTAGTAGGCTTATGCCATTGGGAATTATGAAATAAATGGTAACAGAGCTACAGGTAGTGAATAAAAAAAACTGTGTTTTTAGTAGGCTTATGCCATTAGGAAATATGAAATAAATGGTATCAGAGCTACAGGTAGTGAATAAAAAAACTGTGTTTTTAGTAGGCTTATGCCATTGGGAAATATGAAACAAATGGTATCAGAGCTACAGGTAGTGAATAAAAAAACTGTGTTTTTAGTAGGCTTATGCCATTGGGAAATATGAAACAAATGGTATCAGAGCTACAGGTAGTGAATAAAAAAACTGTGTTTTTAGTAGGCTTATGCCATTGGGAAATATGAAATAAATGGTATCAGAGCTACAGGTAGTGAATAAAAACCTGTGTTTTTGGTAGGCTTATGCCATTGGGAAATATGAAATAAATGGTATCAGAGCTACAGGTAGTGAATAAAAAAACTGTGTTTTTAGTAGGCTTATGCCATTTGGAAATATGAAACAAATGGTATCAGAGCTACAGGTAGTGAATAAAAAAACTGTGTTTTTAGTAGGCTTATGCCATTGGGAAATATGAAATAAATGGTATCAGAGCTACAGGTAGTGAATAAAAAAAACTGTGTTTTTAGTAGGCTTATGCCATTGGGAAATATGAAACAAATGGTATCAGAGCTACAGGTAGTGAATAAAAAAAACTGTGTTTTTAGTAGGCTTATGCCATTGGGAAATATGAAATAAATGGTATCAGAGCTACAGGTAGTGAATAAAAAAAACTGTGTTTTTTGTAGGCTTATGCCATTGGGAAATATGAAATAAATGGTATCAGAGCTACAGGTAGTGAATAAAAAAACTGTGTTTTTAGTAGGCTTATGCCATTGGGAAATATGAAATGAAGCATTAACAAGCAAAATGTCATCACACACCATTTATTACAGATACCAAAAGCCAACCGCTGAACACCGTCCACAAAAAAGTTCAAGACTATAACAATATGTCACACTTCTGGCGGTATTGACATTAAAATCTAACCTCTAGGACTTCTGGCCATCATGAAAATTTGCCGGGGGGGGGGGGGTAATCCCAATATTTTGAACCACAAAACAGTGATCTTTCAATATATAAAAGCATGTGAGTGCAGCACTTAGGCCATAAGAAGTAGATTCTTTGTTTTGCGTCTCCTTGCTTGCACGATTTTGAGTAAATCAGAAAAAACAAACAAATCAAGATAGCAATCACAAGGGTCTCAAAGTACCATCGCATTTCGTTCAATCAGAATCAGACGAAATGGCGGATAATTTGATATGCATCAAAATTGACAGTGTTATTGATTACTTTGGCATACATTGTTTAATTTGACATTTTGAAAATAGACTAGCCCACTTGAAAACCCGATTTCAACCAATTGAAAATCAAGCTCTGATCGGTGAGCTCAAAGGATTCTCTAAAACTGATAGAGTGAAGACGAAGCTATTTTTTAAGAAGTTAAGTCAAACGAATACAAAGGGTAGGTCAGACAACTGACATTTAGCACTTATTTCTGGCAAAGATTCAAGTCATGTTTTACTTTTTTTTGATTAACTGCTCTGTATGACAAAACTCCCTCACCTGAAAACATAGTAGCTTGTGATGTAAGTCATGTTTATAAAAATAACATTCACCCGATATTTTTGATTTATATCTTCTGTAAAGGTTTAGTGCAATCTGACATTTTACGATATATTCAATGTAACATGTACTATTAAAGGATCTGAGAAAAACCTAACAGTTTGATAATCAAGCCAATTTAATTTTCTGAAATAATATATTCTTTCATCAGATGCTAATTGTTAAATATTTGGCGATCAATAAAATAAATAAAAAATGGTGCCATTCTATGGATATATAGTGGAAAAGCTGATTTTTCATGTTGGAGATGGGACCAATAGTGGAATTATTTTTGTCTTGTGCGTTCGGTAGATTCTTTTGAGCCTGGGGAGGCTGCTTCATATCTCTTTATTAAGTTTATTCATCCCATATGTCTACTCATGTTAAATAATATTTCTATTGATTTGATATATATCCAGGCCCACAGCCAGGAGGGAGCTGGGGGAGCGGTCGTTCTCCCCCTGCCCCAAGCCAGAAATTCTTTCAAAATCATGCATTTTTTCACCATTATGAGCACTTTTCTCATGATTTTTAGCCAAAACTGTCAAAAAGCTCCGCCACGGTGAAAGCTGACTCTCCATGCAATAAAGTTCAATCTGATATAACTGATTACATAAATAGTATAAGTACAATGGTGTCATTGAGTATCATTGAGCACCAACCCTAAAAATGTCAAATTAATAATATCAAATTAATTACTTGGTGTATATCTATTTACATTAGTGAACCATTATCTGAGATTTGCATGACAAACAATGTACTGGTATTTATATTTAATCTGACAGATTCTTTGGAGTTTTATGCCAACTGCAAGTACACATAAGTCAGGGTATCATGACAACCGAAAATTTCACTCATTAAGGTTGCTGTGGTTCACTTCTCAGTGAACTTTCGAGTTAAATAAATTCCCATCATGGAATGCTAAAATAATTACTTGCATGATTTTTCATCATTTACAAAGACATCCTAACCTTATAAATGGTACTTCATTCTAATTTGTGACAACAAAAATAGACCCAAACATGCCTTAGGGATAAGGTCATTGTACCAATGTATGCTCACAAATGTATTTACTAATTATTATTATAGGGAGGAGAAAAGGTTCATTATTTTTTTGTTGGTGAACATGACAAAGACCAGGCAAATAAATTAGATAAATTATCCCGATTCCAGCGACAATATTGATAGGTTATTTGTTGATCTAAGAGTGCATAGGCAAAAGTAAAAAGCATCAGGGGAAATATATACAAAAGCTTATAACAATCACAAGAAAGTTGACGTGAAATATTTCTGTACTCCAAAACGTTAATTTACAGGCTTACTAGCCTAACCTATTTAAAAAAATAAAATGCTGTTTCGCATACCCTAACTTCACAAATATATGTACATGAATTTGGTTTCTTTCCCACTCTCTCCTTGATATTGATAAAGGGTCAGCAGATTATTGGGCGATACAATTTTTTTAAAAAGAGGCAATTACTAATCCCTGGGCCTCAGGGTAAATTTTTATTTGGGGCTTCATGACCATGACTCACCTCACAGAATATAGTTAATTTATCATCTGGAAGGAGACCATTTGCGTCATCTAACAGGAAATCCCTGCGGATGAATTTTTTAAAACCCCAATCTTTTCCCTGGATAAATCTGTATGCTCTTTGGCTCTCTGAAAATAAATAAATTCAAAAAGCATTTTAAAAATACTCATGGCATAATGACAAAGCAAAAAGGCAACATTTAAATAAAAGGCATTGATATGCAAAATGTCACCATCTGCCATTTGTTACAGATGCAAAACACCAAGTGCCGAACACAAGTCTACAAAAATGTTGGAGCCTATAATAATGTCACCACTAGTTGTGATTGTGACATAAAAAGCTTATAAATCATAACTAACATTAATAAAAAAAAATAGTATGAGTAGCATAATACATTAATCCACTGAAGATTGAAACTTTCTTTGCATAAATCAATATTGTAACGTTTAATCATATGGATCATGATCTGAATTTCAGAATATTCTTTGATAAAGTTAACGGCTGTTACTCAATCAAACAATAGTAAGAAACCTCATGTTTGTATTGTGAAAGGTTCAGCATCTGATAATCTCTCATAAAGCTTTCGTATTTGTTGAATACGTATTTGACTCAAAAATTTGATTGAATTAGCAATAATATACTACTTATCAAAGATAATATTGTTTACCAAAAATGGTAGCCATTTTGAATTAAGAGCCATATTGAAATTCATTCTCGTGTAGACGTCTTTTTCCAAGTAGACATTAGCCTATTAAATTTGGACCAAATCTGATTACATATTTTTAAGAAAAATTGTGACCATTTGATTTCAATGGCCATCTTGAAAATTTCTTGTGAAGAAGACGTGCTTTGTCTCTTAGGTATCAGCATAAAAATTAGAGCTAAAACGTATGGACTGGTTTTTAAGTTATGAAACATTACATTTTTATTATGTCAGCCATTTTGAATTTGATATATAGTAGGTTAGTTGTTGTACTGTTTTTGTAGAGCAAAAATGTATGCACTGGTATTCAAGTTATGAAACATTACATTTTTATTATGTCAACCATTTTGAATTTCATATAGTAGGTTAGTTGTTGTACTGTTTTTGTAGAGCAAAAATGTATGCACTGGTATTCAAGTTATGAAACATTACATTTTTATGATGTCAACCGTTTTGAATTTGATATATAGTAGGTTAGTTGTTGTACTGTTTTTGTAGAGCAAAAATGTATGCACTGGTATTCAAGTTATGAAACATTACATTTTTATGATGTCAACCGTTTTGAATTTGATATATAGTAGGTTAGTTGTTGTACTGTTTTTGTAGAGCAAAAATGTATGCACTGGTATTCAAGTTATGAAACATTACATTTTTATGATGTCAACCATTTTGAATTTCATATATAGTAGGTTAGTTGTTGTACTGTTTTTGTAGAGCAAAAATGTATGCACTGGTATTCAAGTTATGAAACATTACATTTTTATTATGTCAACCATTTTGAATTTCATATATAGTAGGTTAGTTGTTGTACTGTTTTTGTAGAGCAAAAATGTATGCACTGGTATTCAAGTTATGAAACATTACATTTTTATGATGTCAACCGTTTTGAATTTGATATATAGTAGGTTAGTTGTTGTACTGTTTTTGTAGAGCAAAAATGTATGCACTGGTATTCAAGTTATGAAACATTACATTTTTATGATGTCAACCGTTTTGAATTTCATATATAGTAGGTTAGTTGTTGTACTGTTTTTGTAGAGCAAAAATGTATGCACTGGTATTCAAGTTATGAAACATTACATTTTTATGATGTCAACCATTTTGAATTTCATATAGTAGGTTAGTTGTTGTACTATAACGATACCAAACAACATAACATGATATGAAGGTTGGTGTGACCTCATAGTTTCATTGATTATGGTGAGCTGGAAAAATAGTACATTGTCCTTATAGAAAGGGAAGATGTCAATGTATACTCAGATGAAACAAATTCTATGATAATCATGAATTATTCCAAAAATCAATTAATGTAATAGTTGAAGAATATGGCCTCTAAATGTGAAAGGCCAATAATCTACATCATGTTTATCTAGACCATACATAAATATTTGAAGTAATGAATACTTTTTATGATGAAACTTTAAATACCAAAATCTTAAATGCAATACTAGTGAAGCAACTGTAATTTGTTGATTAGCCCAAAATGTAAACTGAAAGTAAATTTTAAATAAAAAAAGCTTTTAATCTATTGCATTTCAAGAAGGTGTGAAGATACTTTGAAAATGTAAATATTTGTCACAATTTTGATTTGATGTTTTAGTTTAGACTCATTTGATTTGTTTTTACTCCCAGAATTATTGATATGGCAGAGTCAGTAGAAATTAAGACAAGGCATTAACATGACAAAATGTCACCACCTAAAACAATTTGGTCAATTTAAAGCAAGTTGGAAAATACCTTTTGACCTTGAGAAGGTCATTGAAGGTCAAAGGTCAAATCTAAAGTCAGATTTGAACTTCTGAGAACTTGCAAAGTCAAATTTGAACTTTTGAAAAGATGTAGATGATGAAAAAAAAATTTGGTCAATTTGAAGCAAGTTGAAAACAGACCTTTTTGACCTTTTTTGACCTTGAGAAGGTCATTAAAGGTCAAATGTCAAATCTAAAGTCAGATTTGAATTTCTGAGAATATGTAGATGATTTTGAAAAAAAAATTAGTCAATTTGAAGCAAGTTGAAAAAGACCTTTTTGACCTTTTTTGACCTTGAGAAGGTCATTGAAGGTCAAATGTCAAATCTAAAGTCATATTTGAATTTCTGAGAACATGTGGATGATTTTGAAAAAATAATTTAGTCAATTTGAAGCAAGATGAAAAATACCCTTTTGACCCTTTTTGACATTGAGAAGGTCATTGAAGGTCAAATGTCAAATCTAAAGTCAGATTTGAATTTCTGAGAACATGTAGATGATTTTGAAAAAAAAATTTAGTCAATTTGAAGCAAGTTGAAAAAAGACCTTTTTGACCTTTTTTGACTTTGAGAAGGTCATTGAAGGTCAAATGTCAAATCTTAAGTCAGATTTGAATTTCTGAGAACATGTAGATGATTTTTAAAAAAAATCAGTCAATTTGAAGCAAGTTGAAAAAAGACCTTTTTGACCTTTTTTGACTTTGAGAAGGTCATTGAAGGTCAAATGTCAAATCTTAAGTCAAATCTAAAGTAAGATTTGAATTTCTGAGAACACGTAGATGATTTTGAAAAAATTTTTTAGTCAATTTGAAGCAAGTTGAAAACAGACCTTTTAGACCTTTTTTGACCTTGAGGAGGTTATTGAAGGTCAAATGTCAAATCTAAAGTCAGATTTGAAGGTCAAATGTCAAATCTAAAGTCAAATCTAAAGTCAGATTTGAATTTCTGAGAACATGTAGATGATTTTGAAAAAAAATTTAGTCAATGTGAAGCAAGTTGAAAAAATACCTTTTTGACCTTGATAAGGTCATTGAAGGTCAAATGTCAAATCTAAAGTCAGATTTGAACTTCTGAGAACATGTAGATGATTTAGAAAAAAATTGAAGTCAGTCTAAACAGTATTTGTTAAGTTATAGGAAGTTGTAAGAAATTGTTACAGACGCTGGACGCCAACCTCCAACCACCAACCACCAACCGCCAACCGCCAACCACCAACCGCCAACCACCAACCGCCGTCGCAAAAAAACGGAGACCATAACAATATGTCACCACTTTTGGTGGAGACATAAAAAATGAAAAACATATATTTACCAAAAAAAAATTAAAATGTAAAAATAAGTAGAACACAGAATCAAATTTATGAGTCATCACTTACACATGTCAGATACTTGTACGATCTTCAGGACAGACAGAAACATGTCTGATTTTTTGGTTTGTGGTGACATAATACAATATCATACATGTATTAAATAATGTGTAATCAACAATGAACCCTGAAGACATAACAAGGTAACTGCTCTTACCCATAGCTTTAGTTTCTTCTCTTTTGGCATTGAGTATTGAGAATTTGAATTTGGCGCGCACTTCACTTTTATTACATGAGACGAGTAGGAGATATAATGAGAGATAGTCCTTTGATTCTTCATCAAGTCCCTTTGGATTAACACGTAAACACCTGCAAATAAAACAAGACACACAGTGATAAATTGATATACATGTATTTTTCCCAAAAATTCAAAATGGTCACCATGTGAATTACCCAGCATGCCAAAAACCTAATCAGATCTTGGCACTAGTCTGATATTGCATCTAAAAATTTAGCGAAGGATGATGATGATGATATACAGATATATGTTCACCCATTAGAACAAGACCACATCGATACAGCACTCTGAAAAAGTGAAATAAAAATTAGAAAACATAGTAAGATTAAAAGAGTTAGAAAAAACAAGTCATAAGAAAACAAACACCAGTCCCATATTAGGAACAGGTCATAAGACTATACATTCTATTTCAAATATCTTGTTGCTATTACAATATTGGTCCTTGTCCAAAACTATTATTTAATTAGTTTAGAAGAGGATATTATATAGTTTTATTATTTACATGCTGTGATACTTATTCTCTCATTGGTCAATTAGATACCATGTGACTAAAAATATATAGAGGTATTCCATGTCTCCCTGCTTCGAAAATGTGTGAGGAGTGTTACCGGCAGTGGCATCATTTTTTAGTGAATACCACTATATATTCAATTAAAATGACATCACATCACTTAATTCCCGGGAATTTAGTAATAAAAAAGTATTTTCATCCGATATGACAGACATTGAAGTTGTATCAGGAAAGCCACCCAAGAAATGGTTCAATACTATATAACAAACGTGGGATAAAAATTTTACAAATGTATTCAAAATGTCAACTGTTCAAAGCATGAAGACATGGACTTTAACATGGAAGATCTGAATCTAATTTCTATATATCATGGTGTGACAGAAATCGTGATTTATTACAGAATATTGGCAAACGTTTGGAAATATGTTGAAACTAAACATCACATCGTAACAATATTGTGTACTTCTAACTTTAATATTGTGTGCTTCTTTAATGAGGAAATAATAAAACAAATATTGAATTCTGTGATCGTTTAATATCTGTATATATTTCTTAGGGATGTATTATTCACCACACTCCTGTGTCTGCACTAAGCAACATGCAGGAGACAAGTGATATAATAGACCTAGAAAAATGATATAATCGGTTACCTAATACAAAGGAGTGTGAAGAAGTAGATCACATCTGCATAATTTGTAATAACTAGGCTAGTTCAACTGAAAACATTATAGCACTAGTTTATTGTTCAATCAATATGGGCAATCAATGAGAAGACAGCCTCGAATTGCAGTTCGGTAAATCAAATTACAACAGATAACGAGAAGTCTAAAGGAAAGGGGATCATCATAAAAAGTCATGGATTGCATTTCGGCCAGATAAAAGCATTACAACGAGACTTAATGACTCAAAATGACATTGTATCCATCATTGAGGTTGCCAATTATGACCTGCATGTTATCTTTGAACATCCTTTACGAATCCCATTAACCTATTTAAAAACAAGAAGTTGGTTATGCCTGTAAGTGCTAAGAACCTAATGAGACACAAGAAGTACTAATAATTAATTGAACATTCATTTCTCCATCAATCAATCCATGGAATTATTCTGCTCTGTTTATTGTTGTATCTTAGCTCATTTGCACATCTTTAACTACAATTACTTTACGTTCTGGATTAATATCAGGACAACATGGCTAAATGTATAAGCAAAAGTGCAAAATTGGGAAAGACCACAAAATGCTTCAATTGCAATTAGAAACAAGGCAATAACATGCAATATGTCACCACTGACCATTTGTTACAGACCTTGACTACAAAATGCCAAATGCAAACCACTGAACAACGTCCACAAAAAAGTTGTAGATAAAATAACAAGATGTCACCACTTGTGTTAGTGACATAAAAAACAAAAGAGTAAAGATCATGAAAATAAAAATAACACCTATAAATAATAGCAATCTACTGGTGATATTTTACATCTAGCAAATATCATAATCATTATATTTGATAAGTGAAATCTGTATATCCAAACACCTCTCTAATCTGAACACCTCTTAATGTGACAACTTTGTTGACTCATATATAACTCATAAAAACCTTAAAATGTGAACACCAGCTAATCTGAACACTTTTGGGTGATCCTAATGGCATTCGAATTAACTAGGTTTTACTGTATTTGCAAAGGGGGAATAAGAAACAGATATTTCATCCTCATAGAATAAATTCCATGACGTAATTCTATACCAATCAATAAAGCAAATAGCCTTGGTATGAATTCACTTAACCTAAATTATATCAGGTACACATATTGGTATTTGTATGACATTTCCTCCTTCCTTTTATTATTTTAATGGAGCTAAGTATGTTATTTCATCATCGATTACCATTTGGCAAACTTCTAATATTTTTGTTATATAATCTACATGGAAAGTAAGGTCAATCAAAGTTAATGATATTTTTACATTAGGCCTTTTAAATGATCAGGGAAATACAGCTGCACAATATCTTTATAGATACTATTTATTTGTTTTAATCTTCAGTTTCTTTACTCCCCTCCCATACGCTACTTACATATTTTTCACAGAATTAAACAAATAAACAAGAGAACACTTATCTTCGACTGAGTTTTATATATGTTACTGGATATAAGGGAAAAGAATTATTAATTCATTGTACCGTGTACTAAATGAACTATTATAGCCATTAACTAAATTGCACTTTAAAATAATTGTATAAAAATAATATCCTCTAAAGGTACGTTCACACCAACAGCAAATGCCACGCTTTAAATCGGCGAGCAAAGCGCCATCATTTTTGTCATTTTTCTTCATACCAACGGCGCTTTGATGGCGCTTTAAAGCGGCTTGTAAAGCGGCACCAAAGCGTAACAAAGTTTGATTAAAGCGTCGGGGTCGTAATAGGTCGTAGAAAAGCTCAGAGTAAAACGGGATATTCGGCAAGAGCGCCAAAAAATTTTAAACTCTTAAAAAATTTTGGGCGCTCTGTTACGAATCGATTAAGCGCCGAGAGCGTATCAAAGCTTAACAAACCGTAACAAAGCTCAGAAAAACTTGATCCAAAGCGTAGGAAAGCTTAACATAGCTCTAAAAGGTTCCTCACGCTTTGATCCCGCTTTGATCAGGCTTTGTTACGCTTGAAATCACGCTTTGAAAAGCTTTGATAAGCATTATTACGCTTTGATGCGATTATGACGCTTTAAATCAGGCTCTGATACGATTGCAAAATCTGTTGTGCATTGTTACGCTCTGTTAAGCTCTGTCACGCATTGGAAAATGTCGAGATCGCCGATTCCATGCCGCTTTTGATCCAATGACTATATAAAGATGCAGTAGATCCATAAAACCATTGCATCTTTGACTCGAGAACACGATGGCAGAACAACGAGATCCAGAAATTCCAGATGGACCAGAGCATGACCTATCTGAAGAAGACATGACGTTTGTCGCACGGCGTGATATAGCGTGTGAAAACTTTCAAGCGTAACAAAGCCTAGCAAAGCGTTTCAATCCTTGATTAAAGCGTCTCAATTCATTGGAAAGCTTGAGAGTCCCTCAGGAAAGTGTAACAAAGAGTGTCAGATATTGATGAAAGCATCTGACCTCGTGTCAGATCTTCATGCCAGATCGTAGCAAATCTTGAGACATCTTAACGAAGCGTGTCAAGTGGTAACAGACCGTGAATAGACTGGGGTCCCCGCTTTGAACCAAGCTGTGTTAAGCTTTCCTACGCTTTGAGTCAAGCTTTGTTGAGCTTTGTTACGGTTTGTTAAGCTTTGATACGCTCTCGGCGCTTCAATCAATTCGTAACAGAGCGCCCAAAATGTTTAAACAGTTTAACATTTTTTGGCGCTCTTGCCGAATATCCCGCTTTACTCCGAACTTTTCTACGACCTATTACGATCCCGACGCTTTAATCAAGCTTTGTTACGCTTTGGTGCCGCTTTACAATCCGCTTTAAAGCGCCATCAAAGCGCCGTTGGTGCGAACGCTTAAACAGTTTAAATTTTTTAGCGCTCTTGCCGAATATCCCGCTTTACTCCCGAGCTTTTCTACGACCTATTACGACCCCGACGCTTTAATTAAGCTTTGTTACGCTTTGGTGCCGCTTTACAAGCCGCTTTAAAGCGCCATCAAAGCGCCGTTGGTGTGAACGTACCATAACTGGTGTATTCTATCGATCTCAAAATATGATTTCAAGGCTATTTGAATAAGCTTGTTTTTCACTTATTCAATATATAAAGTGGGTTGAGCAAAATGTATTTGTCTAAATTGGAAGATTTGTATGGACCCGTTCAACCAGTCCTCTGTAGGAAATTTGCAGAGGCGATCAGGGGTTTCAATAAATTTCTCACAACAGGCTAAATAAATGAAAATTTTTAGTCAAATTTTATAGAGTAAACACCAAAAACTATAATTTCAAGAGCTTTGAAATCTTCAGAGAACATAAGTTGCATATACAGCAACTACTACAAGTTATTTAAAAGTTCTGCTTCAACAAAGTGTCTAGTATCTACAGAAAATTTGACTTTTTGACGTCAAAATCAGCAATTTCTCGGAAACTGGGCTAACTTGGGAAATGGCGATGATAGGTCAAATAGGCATTATGGATATGCATAAAATGAATGTGGATATGACTCAATCCGAATAGCAGTTTTAATTTGTGCGGCCAATGTTGACGGACGGACGGACGGACCAACGGACGGACGAACGCCTGGTCGATCCCATAGGCTCATTGTGTGAGCCAACAACAGGCAAAACTAATGGAAATCATGAATTTAACATGGAAAATTTGAGAAGTCCCTTAAAACAAGAGGCGATTTTGTGAAAACAACCGGTTAAAATCGCCTGTTGCCTGTTGCTAATAAAACCCCTGGGTGATGCCGCAATACCAGATAATAATATGAACTGGCGAATTGTGAAATGTTTTTTATGTTATGATGTCATAAGAATCATTCAAACAAAAAACATAAAATTGAGTGGTTGAGTTTTTTGAGTTTTTATGGCTTTTAAGTACATTTCTTTTTATAGGATAACACTAGATATGTCAGTCAAAATAAGCATGTCAAAAATCTCATAAAAAGAGTCAATGTGTATAAACGTGACAAACTAATATTTATCTAAATAGACTTTCTAACACTTTGAAAATGCTTACAAACATAATTGCTTAACTTAACAAGGATTGAAATAATGTCGCGTTGTGAGAACCGTTGTTCGGGATGTCGGAACTGATGATCGCGTTAGTAGAAGTCTAGCAAGCCTGAATCTGTATATAACACTTGTAAGGAAAAGTTAGATTCACTTTGACTGATTGAGATGATATAAAGCATGGCATTTGAGAATGAATGACCTTATAAATCAATAGACTTGATGGTACTAGGTTGACTGATCACCATACTTGCTGTCTATATGGCAAGATGCTCTCTTATTAATTATCATTGAATGAACTTCACTCAAGATTAATGTTTTTCACCCTGAATTATGGTAAAGATAAAGGGATTACTCTAAATGAGGTTCAGGATATGAGGATTATCTCCTGCACAATTTAATTTATTTGCCCAAAGGCGCTAGGTTACAAGACCAAATATGTTATATTGGCCAAGGGATGTTCTACGTATCTAATATTTCTTAAACTGTTTATCAAAAATTAGAAAAATATATTATGAAACACAAGCTGCACCCAAAGTCCAATAGTAAGGTTTAAAATAGTTCATTTAAGTGTCACTCATATATAATTTACATTAAACCAATTAAAATATATATATAAAATGGGTAAAAATGTACCCCTCCAGCCGTTGCCGACACTGTGGATAGAATCATAATAAAAATAGTTTCCACTGTTTGAACACATGATATCCTAGCTAGCATGTAAACATTGCACTCACACCTAATTAAACAATATGTCTCTCAAGTTACATTGTCAAAAGAAGGATGCAATGTTGACATGAAAGTGAAAACATCATACAATATCTCATATCATTACAATAAATATGAAAGCAGAAGCGCTCTATAAAAGTGCCACATACCATTTTAATTTATCATTGGCCCCAGCTGAGAAAGTGGAACTTTTGAGAACTTCTCCCATTTCTTCTCTGCAAAAACTAAAGTTGTTGATTGTCCACATGTAAGAGAACTTCACCACTTTAACCTGGAATACAGATGAATATTGTTTAACATGATTGGAGAACTCCACCACTTTAACCTGGAATACAGATGAATATTGTTTAACATGATTGTCAACATGTAAGAGAACTTCACCACTTTAACCTGGAATACAGATGAATATTGTTTAACATGATTGTCAACATGTAAGAGAACTTCACCACTTTAACCTGGAATACAGATGAATATTGTTTAACATGATTGTCAACATGTAAGAGAACTTCACCACTTTAACCTGGAATACAGATGAATATTGTTTAACATGATTGTCAACATGTAAGAGAACTTCACCACTTTAACCTGGAATACAGATGAATATTGTTTAACATGATTGTCAACATGTAAGAGAACTTCACCACTTTAACCTGGAATACAGATGAATATTGTTTAACATGATTGTCAACATGTAAGAGAACTTCACCACTTTAACCTGGAATACAGATGAATATTGTTTAACATGATTGTCAACATGTAAGAGAACTTCACCACTTTAACCTGGAATACAAATGAATATTGTTTAACATGATTGTCAACATGTAAGAGAACTTCACCACTTTAATCTGGAATACAGATGAATATTGTTTAACATGTGACAAAGCCTCAGTCCCTCAAGGCTCTAAAATGTACTTATTTACACCCCCCCCCTTCATATAATAAGGCATCAACCACTCTCAAGCTTTAGCCATGAATATAAAATGTGGTTAGTTGACAGACTTACCACCAGGTGGCTAACTCATGTCAAGTAACAGTGCTGACATATGTGTCCTTGAACTTCAATAAAAATATGTTAAAGATTAAATTTTGAATACCAAATCATTGTTATCTTATTCAGAAAACGTAGATGGAGCTCTATTTTAATGAAGCAAAATAAACCAATGAAAATAGTTTACCTGCGTGTAGCACCAGTTCTCTGCCACGGGGCATGACATTTCCGGGGGAGGGGGTGTGGGCACACGGGACACCGCCATCGTCCCCTGACTGTCGCTGACTATATTGCAGTCCACTGTCGATGATGGGGTAGGACTACCACTAGTTAAAAGATATCTGAAAATATAAATAGAACATACAGTACTGACATGAGATCATTTCAAATGGTTTAGATTACAGTTTTTAACTGTTTCTGAAACAAGAATCTGTCTTACTTTGTCTTAACATCGCTGATTCAGAATTCAAACGTTGTAGGTCTCACCTTGTTTTACCTTGGATGTCTAGTCTGAGAAAAAATGAATTTGAGTGTTCTTGTGTAAGCTCAGAGGACTAATATCACATGATAAAACATGAGAAGCTATTTCAGAAAGTGCCATTAATAAGTATAAAGTGAAAGTGATAATGATGATTCCATTTCTGCTTTGATTCATTTCTGATTTACAATTCAGTTATATAGTCTATACTTGTCAAACATGTGAGACCAAGTAATACTGAGAGGTAGCAGGTTTTCATACATATTGCTAAAAGTGTAATTATAATTAGTCCAAATGTCATCAGTGTGGACCAAATATTCTTTCAGGGGCAATGAATATTCAAAAATCAATGATCTGATTGTTTAGTTGTTTATTTTTTACTTAGTTGATTCATTAAGAACACCTACATATAACTTTTAAATTGATTTAAGTCGAAAAAATGAAAATATGTAGATCATTTATTGGTCTGATCATCATGAATCATTAGTCTATATGAATTGAGTCATTAACACTAATAAATAGGCAAGATATTAAAATACTGAGAGGCAGAAAAAAACTGTAGTTTTACAAAATAACAATTATCCAGTTTTCATTATGCATATATTTTTGTTAATTTCTATTCTGTATAACTAGGCTTTGGACAAGAAAACGACCAGAAATATTCAGGGACATGGGATATCTTGGTGAGGTATAGATATTTCCCTCAGGATAAACTGTACACATAAAACATCCCAGTTCATACCTTATTAATAATATGAAAGATCAGCAATATCTACTTGATTATTCTTTTCAGATGGTTAACTTCATAATACATATCATATCTATCTATTTCCAAATAAAAAGGAAGACTGTTATCTCCATGTTAGAACAGGGTAACATGATTTGTTTAACTGGGAGACTGTTATCTCCATGTAAGAACAGGGTAACATGACTTGTTTAACTGGAAGACTGTTATCTCCATGTCAGAACATGGTAACATGACTTGTTTAACTGGAAGACTGTGATCTCCAAGTAAGAACAGGGTAACATGACTTGTTTAACTGGAAGACTGTGATCTCCATGTAAGAACATGGTAACATGACTTGTTTAACTGGAAGACTTTGATCTCCATGTAAGAACATGGTAACATGACTTGTTTAACTGGAAGACTGTGATCTTTATGTAAGAACATGGTAACATGACTTGTTTAACTGGAAGACTGTGATCTCCAAGTAAGAACAGGGTAACATGACTTGTTTAACTGGAAGACTGTGATCTCTATGTAAGAACATGGTAACATGACTTGTTTAACTGGAAAACTGTGATCTCTATGTAAGAACATGGTAACATGACTTGTTTAACTGGAAGACTATGATCTCTATGTAAGAACATGGTAACATGACTTGTTTAACTGGAAAACTGTGATCTCTATGTAAGAACATGGTAACATGACTTGTTTAACTGGAAGACTGTTATCTCCATGTAAGAACAGGGTAACATGACTTGTTTAACTGGAAGACTGTGATCTCCATGTTAGAACATGGTAACATGACTTGTTTAACTAGAAGACTGTGATTTACATGTAAGAACAGGTGAACATCACTTGTTTAATTACAAGACTGTGATCTCCATGTAAGAACAGGGTAACATGACTTGTTTTACTGGAAGACTGTGATCTCCATGTTAGAACAGGGTAACATGACTTGTTTAACTGGAAGACTTTGATCTCCATGTAAGAACAGGGTAACATGACTTGTTTAACTGGAAGACTGTGATCTCCATGTAAGAACAGGGTAACATGACTTGTTTAACTGGAAGACTGTGATCTCCATGTAAGAAGAGGGTAACATGACTTGTTTAACTGGAAGACTGTGATTTACATGTAAGAACAGGGTAACATGACTTGTTTAACTGGAAGACTGTGATCGCCATGTAAGAACAGGGTAACATGACTTGTTTAACTGGAAGACTGTGATCTCCATGTAAGAACAGGGTAACATGACTTGTTTAACTGGAAGACTGTGATCTCCATGTAAGAACAGGGTAACATGACTTGTTTTACTGGAAAACTGTGATTTACATGTAAGAACAGGGTAACATGACTTGTTTAACTGGAAGACTGTGATCGCCATGTAAGAACAGGGTAACATGACTTGTTTAACTGGAAGACTGTGATCTCCATGTAAGAACAGGGTAACATGACTTGTTTAACTGGAAGACTGTGATCTCCATGTAAGAAGAGGGTAACATGACTTGTTTAACTGGAAGACTGTGATTTACATGTAAGAACAGGGTAACATGACTTGTTTAACTGGAAGACTGTGATCGCCATGTAAGAACAGGGTAACATGACTTGTTTAACTGGAAGACTGTGATCTCCATGTAAGAACAGGGTAACATGACTTGTTTAACTGGAAGACTGTGATCTCCATGTAAGAAGAGGGTAACATGACTTGTTTAACTGGAAGACTGTGATTTACATGTAAGAACAGGGTAACATGACTTGTTTAACTGGAAGACTGTGATCGCCATGTAAGAACAGGGTAACATGACTTGTTTAACTGGAAGACTGTGATCTCCATGTAAGAACAGGGTAACATGACTTGTTTAACTGGAAGACTGTGATCTCCATGTAAGAAGAGGGTAACATGACTTGTTTAACTGGAAGACTGTGATTTACATGTAAGAACAGGGTAACATGACTTGTTTAACTGGAAGACTGTGATCGCCATGTAAGAACAGGGTAACATGACTTGTTTAACTGGAAGACTGTGATCTCCATGTAAGAACAGGGTAACATGACTTGTTTAACTGGAAGACTGTTATCTCCATGTAAGAACATGGTATCATGACTTGTTTTACTGGAAAACTGTGATCTCCATGTAAGAATAGGGTAACATGACTTGTTTAACTGGAAGACTGTGATCTCCAAGTAAGAACAGGGTAACATGACTTGTTTAACTGGAAGACTTTGATCTCCATGTAAGAACAGGGTAACATGACTTGTTTAACTAGAACAGTTCAATCACCTGGGAGTCTTATGTTTACATCTTTTTTAATGATTATTCACAATGCTATATATTATGAGGATATGACAATATGTAAATAAAATGTAAATTATCTTCGACTGTTCAAAATATCTATTTGAACTGCAAATTCTATTGCGAACATGATAAAAAACATGTGTCATTACATACATCTATATAATTTATATATATCTTGTACAGGACAGGATGTTGCTACATAACAGCCATGATCCACCAAGGTATTTTACCCAAGTGAAGGAATATATACCCTGAGAAACGAGAAGTGAAAGTAATGGTTCTCAAGTAGACCCGAATGGTGGATAATTTTTAAGAAATTACAATTACTGATACCAAATAAGGTAATGGTAGAGTATGTAAAATTTGAGTTAGAACACATGGAACAATTACAGATTGAGGCAATTATCTCAATTCCAAGTGGGTTGGAAATTCCAGGGTTCAAAAAACTTGGCAAACATCTATGAAAGACAACAATTACTCACAGGCCCCCCTTCACAAAGAACAAACCAAACAACCATTAATATTTCTTTATTTTCTTGATTAATTCATAAATAAATCAATATCATCTATGATTCTTATTATAACAAACTCAGCTTTATTAAATTTATAACCAATCGATTTATATTTTCTGTGAATTGACATGAAAATTGATATGATTGAAGTCTTTGAAATGACTGACATATCACAAAATGGAGATGTTGGTGCTATCTATTCACTTATAGCTCATCAGTGGGGAGAAAAAGTAATCAATAGAATAAAGGATATAGGACAACCTTTCAAATAGCTTGTCATGTTTCCATCAACACAGTCAATGTCCTCTACACTTAATTCCATACTTTCGAGGAGAATGCCCTCATATAAATGCCAACAACATCAAATTGCAATTACCGGTAATACTGTTTTAAGTGTTGATAAATCTATGATGTTCCAAGAAATTGGATTTAAGACATGATTTATACTTGATTTGATTCTATGCTTGTTTAGTACTTTAGATCTGGTCAATGATATTAATTGAACCCCTTGATAGTGAATATGTAATCTAGAGATACACGAGTATTTGATAAAAAATAAAACGTGAAATGAAGTCACATTCTTGGTAACTGTAATGTTGACATAGCCATTAAATTCACAATGAATTTATCATAGCAGCATGCCACTTAGATCTGCACTAGATTACCCATTTTTATCATTTGTAGCCCTGAACTTTCCGCATATTCAGTTATGATATCATGACAAAAATATGGGAGATTGAGATAATGAATATAGTAGTCATTTGTTACAAGGCTAATTTAGCTCTGGATTATAAAGAAAATTGGGTGCTAACTTCACTGTATTCTGATAATTTACTTTTCAAACTTGACCCTGAGCATCAATTTACTTGTGTTGTCCTTTTACATGTTTATTCTCCTTACCAGAGTAGAGTTCTTTAAAATGTGTTAAGTCACTAATACAGTAAAAAGTTGTAGCATCTTTTTTCGAGTGGTGTTCAGCATCTACATTTGGTTTCTGTAACAAAGTGTTACACTTTTGTAATTTCAACTAGGTAGTAACATTTTGGTGTGACATTTTTCAATAGATTTAAGTTGGCAAGGTTTGGTACAACTTAACTGACAAAATGAAAATAAATATTAAGGTCCTTTGACTGAATTATACAATCTATATTATAATCATAGTTTTCCAGTTTGGACAAAGATCAAAGTAAAACAAGCTAAAATAAAAAGAAATAGGAAATGTAGATGGAATGCGGAATTTATATGTTTTTACTTGCTGTGAAAAAGTGGAGAATATGTTTATTAATAACCCAGATGCCAGAAGGTAGTTACCAGTTTCACCACCACAT